AATGTGAGACCTGTAATTTCTTTTCTTCAAACACAGCAGCAGCAGCATGTTCTCTGCACCTGTTGGTTTTATGATTTGCTTCTCAAAACAATTCCTTTGCTGTTGAGACATGATCTGAATGACAGGCAGTGCTGAATCAGCTTGTAAATAGAAATGGAGGTGGGTTCAATGCATTTTCCAAAATAACCTCCCTCTTCATGCCTTGTGCGACTTGCCCCTTTCCAGGCACGCTTTATCCGTCTTCATCTCTTGCCATTAGATTTCTCTGTTCTGTTTTAATACTCTTTTTATTTCTCACCATTATTCCCACATTCTTGTCTCGTTCTCTTCTCGCTTCGTTCCCTTGGGTTCCCTCCTCAACATGATCTCAACAACTTAGATAACAGCAGAGGCATTCATAAGTGAAATGTTTAGTTAAAGCATAGTAACCCTGCCCTTGAGATGCAGTCAGGGCAGGTCAAAACCATATAAGGCTTTTTTTCAGAGACCTTCAATTACAGAACTCATTTACGAGTGGTCTAGTGCGAGTGTGAACAGCCGAGAGACTGCGTTAAAGCTTGGGCAGCACAGTCACTGCTCTTCACTGACCACACTAATGCCCTGGGAGTAATAATTCCCCGATACTGAATTAGGCTGACTTTTTGACTATAAGGACACAAATCAGCTCAATGGAAGCCCATCTTCTTTAACATTGTATTTAGAAGAAAAAAAAAACAGAAACAAACAACAAACCCCAACAAAACAAAACTCAGACTTACTATTGGAATCACTGTCCATTTTCCGTAAATTATAAGCTCTTCTCAGTAGAGTCCTGAGTCATGATTTTAGCATGCTTTTGGGATCTGTCAAGGAAATACGTATTTATAGTTTATATTTGTATGGCACACTCTGTTTGTGGATCTCAAAGCATTTTAAGCTTGTTTATCATGTAGACTCTTAACACCCCTGGCAGGGTAGGTTATTTCAAAAATTGGGCAACTTAGGGATTGAGGCTGTGGTCTTTAGAAAATTTATTACTGCCAAGATCCCTTCCAAGGTCTGCGCCTGAATGCTTGAGGCATTATTGAAAAAGGGGTTTACGTGCCTTAGCAGATTTGCCCTGATTCATAAGCTTCTCCCTGGCATTACTGTCAATCTTGAAAGCCAGTGGGAGTTCTGGATAGGTCAGGGTGCTCACACGAAGGTCCATTTAATAATATCAGATCGAAGCAAAGTACAGAGGGAAGTCTGCTGCATTTTTCTGGCATGTGTTGCAAGTTGTTCCAATTACCTTTTAAAACTAACCTACATCTTTGGATTACACCAACACATGCATCAGCAAGTGCTTCATGTGAGTTTCAGGTAATTATTCTGTTGGTGGTAAATTTAAACGATTCCGCTTTTTAAAGGAATTTGCTGTTATTTGACATAGATTTTTGTGAATCGCATGGCAGGGAAGCACTGTCGAGTACAGAGAGCCTTATGTCCCATTTTGCCTATTGCTGTGATAACATATTAGAGAAATACTCTTTCCAAATGAACTGAAAAAAAAAAACAACGGGTTTTTCTGTGAGAAGAAAACATTTTTTTCTGGTAAATATTTTGAATTTGTTGATGATAGATCTGCATATATTCTATAGAAACCGAAGGTGTGTTTTGAGTGGCATTCAGTACCTTTTAGAAGCTATGGGAGAAGGAACTGAGGGGCTCTGCACCCTGTGAGATATTCTCAGAGAAGTCAGGCCCCAACAAGTCCCTGCCTGCAGGAGGGCAGCCCTGACCACTGCTGGAAGGTGTGCTGCAAGCCCAGCTGTGCTTCTGGGGATTGCCATGACAATTACAAGCTTCTCTCAGTATAGTCCCACGTTTGCTGTGCTTTTATCACCTAATGCTGCCTCCCGGAACAGTTCAGGTGTCTCCGTGCAGGCTGCATCCAGTTAAGAGGCTACGGTCTGTCTCCTTCTCCTGCTCAGAAAAGACCACTTATAGGCAGCCTTAACCGTCTAACAAAGCAGACTGCTTACACAAACTGTGTATTTTAAAGATGCTTGCAGAAAGGGGAGGGAAATTTTTCAAGTAAGCTCGGCCTGTTAGAGCAAGTTTATATAAAGACTACAACACAATTAACTTCTTGACAACTGATTTTTCTCCTTGTGCCCTACGTAAACAAACTAAGCTAGCTGAATGCAGGAAAATGAAAGTGATCATTAGTGAACATATTAAAAGTGCTCTAAAAAGTGTTGTGAAGTTTCTCCCATCCACCTAAAATTTCAGGTTTCTCTATGAAAAAGGCTGTCCAAAATAGCCTTCACCTTCTCCCATTCAAAAAAATTTCAAGGGGATTTTTCAATACAGAAAAAAAAAAAATCTCAAATGTACTTGGAAGAAAAATTTGGTTCTAAGTCACTTTGACTCAAAACATTCTTTATGAAATGTCAGCTTCTTCACTCCACCTTCATAATTTTTTCACCCTTTTCTCAGTGTTTCAGGATCTGTGAGTAGCATACTGACGCTATTTTACTTTACCTTTCTGTCTTTCAAAGTCAAGAAGAATTTGAAAATTGAATGGAGGGACACATAAGTGGAAGAGGGGAGGGAGACAGGTGAAGTTAACAGGAATATATCCAGGTTGTATCCATTTTATTGCTAACCTGGCAAAGATTAGAGGAAGAAAGGGAGGAAGGGGGAATCTGATTTAATATATTAATATCGTTCTTTCAAATCCACAAGTAACCATTTCAGTCAGAAAACAGAAATTTAATCTCATTTCAAAATTTCCAGTCTAAAATATTTGGGAAGAAAGTCTCAAACTAATTTTTTTTTCAGAAGCTGTTTTCAATGGAATGACATTTTACGTGGGAAAAATGCCATTTGGTTCAACTTACGACTTGGCCTGCATTGTTCCAAAGGCTCCGAGGGAGCCATCATTTGTGGTCTGCATTAGTGTGGCTCTTGGGCACTTCAGCAGTGGCCACACTTTCTGTATCCACTGGAACTTTATATTCCTGAGAGGAAGACTAGATTGTCTATTAGATAGTCTAGCCTTTTAAACAAGAGAGTGAAAACTCAGTTTCTTTGAAGTAAAATGATGACAGAAATAGAAATCCCAGTACTTCATATGGAATAATGCTTTGCTGAAAATGTTTATTGGCGTGGGAAGGGGAAGGAGTAAAAAACTAGACTATGGATGAAGAGTGTGAAATTTTACAACTTTATGCTGTGCCCCAGTATGTTACCAGCCACAGGAATGGGTTTGAAGAACTCCTTACTCCACTGCTTATGCTGTTTCCTGTGGCCTCCATAAATCACTTAACCTTTGTCCCTAAGTTTCCTTATCCAACAAACGGGAATTTTAATACTTAATTTTCTGCCTCAGAGGAGTCTTGTGAAACTTAACTAGTTAATGTCTGTAAAATACTTTGAAGACTCGCAAAATCACCAGTTGTTTTTTTGTTTTTAAAGGAGAAATATGAAAAATCCAGAGTGGAAATATATAAATAATGTAAATATATAAAAGTATTTCTTTTTTTTTTTTTTTTCCCCCAGAAACAAGAGCAAACAAGTTGACTGTGAAATCAGTGCTGCTGTAGAGGATAAAGAACCAATGACTGAATAAATCTGCTTTGGAACACACCCTGGTAATTCACAGTTCTATCAAACAATCTTCCCTCTCCCCCTTTTTAATTACTGGCTTTTATGACAACTCCACCATGCGTTTTTCCTTCCGAATTTAACTCCCCTTTTAAAAACACAAGTTTGCGTCTGCCCAGACAAGTAGGAACATTCTCAGCATGGCATATGCAATGAATTAATTGTTTGGTGGGGTTTTTTTCCATGAAAAGTTTTGCCATCCCAGTAATATCTTTTATAGTTTTCTTCCAGTGTGCTGTCAGCCCTACGCTTATCAGGTGTCATTTCTTTTTATTCAATAATTATGCCATTTTCCCTAGTGCTGGATGAGTGCTTCAGAAAGCTGTCTACAAATACTCATTCCAGCTCTTAAATAAACTCATTTCAACTCTGTTCATACATATTTCATGTACACTTTATCTGATAATTCTAGTGAATGATTTATTGGCAGGAATGTTTGCCCAAATGAAAGATTTTAAGGTTCAGGTAATTTGCAAAAAAAAAAAAAAAGTGAAATCTGTATTTCTAATAATAAAAATCTGTGCTATAAACAGTAACTAAACTCAGGATCAACCTGTTACTGCACAGAAACATGAAATATGAGCCAAAGTCCAACAAAATCCATTCTAGTTTAGTTTATGTGCAATGAATTAATCCTGAGAAAATGGCAGACAAAGAATGATTTTTAAAACATCAGAATATTTCCAACAGGTAGCATATGAAAGAAAAACAACATTCTAGTAGTTAACAATTCACATATAGAGTTGCAATTCATAGAATAAATCACCTGCAAATTGTTTGGCCATTTATTGTATTTGTCATATTTGGATACTGAATTTAGTACAACAAAATTTATGCTATTTATCTCAGCAACGCAGCAGAACAACTCATTGAGAGTCTGCTGTTGTTAATACAGTATCATTTGGAGAAAAGTTGATTTACCAGCTGGATGGAACATGATTATAAAAATTAGAGTTACCCATAGCATATTCAAGTTGAATGCCTTATACGTTTCTCCACACAGAGTTTCAGTGTGGTCGTACCCAACTAATGCATGACTTATTTAGCTGAATAATTATTGATTAAAAATGGGCAAAGAGTTATGATAACCATATTGATGAATGCTATTGCAGGGTGACATTTAAACTGTCAGCAGTGCCAAGAAGCAACAAAATACTTCCTTCTAAGAACTGTTCATATGTGCAGAATAGTTTGAAGAAGTCACAAACGCTCCAAGGACAAGCAGTCTAATATTTCCAAAACCCAGATAAGAGGTTTTTGTGATATCATTAGTAATTTTTGCATTTCAGAGTAAAATGAATAATCTCCAAGGCAAAAAACCAAATTTTTCCCCTTAAAGAACAAAATGTGAACCCACTGAACAAGGAGGCCAAAGAGCAGAACTTTCTTTAATAGTTTGCATTTCCTCATATCAGTTTACATTCATACTCTTACAAAGCGGTGCAGTTGCAAAGGTCCAAGAAACTACCCTTTATAATCTGTCTTCTTCGATAGGAAATTAATCTGTCATTATCATTCCTTTCTCTTCCATTCTCTTTCTCCTTTAGCACTTTAGAAAGTAATTCATGGCTCTGCACTGTGTAACAACTCTATCATAGGGAGATTCGTCCAAGCCAAAGAAGCCCATATCTGCAAAAAAATACAAGTAGTTGAATGGTTCTGTTGCCATTGGTGGGATTACTCACTCTGAGTCTCACATCGTGGCTTTGCAACAGGGAGGGCAAGGGACAGTCAACAAGAAATGTTCAGAGGTGACCAGTGTGTTAAGGGAGGAAAAGAGACATTTAATTATTTAACTGAGCGTTGGACACCTAATGCTGCACCATGAGGAGTTTCATAGCCATAAACGCTCTCCAGCCCTTATGGCTTTAGGTGGTCCTGTATTACAAGAGAGTGGAGGAAATGTGACAATTCCATGTTACTAAAGAACAACACGATTACTGGGGTCCTTAAGGGTGGGTTGATGCATTAAATCACTCCATGGAGGTTGAAATTATTTCAGCTGGAAGGGTAAAAGGCCTAATGTCCTACAGCTATTGGGAAGAAATAATCAACTGCTCCCTTCCCCCTTTCACCTCCTTCTCTCCTTCTATGTCAATATGTTGTGGAGGGCTGGGTAAGTGTACTAATACACTGCAGGCAAGACAGGAGATAATTGCCTGGTTTGTGGATCACAACAAGACTTCAGTATGAAAAAATGACATACTGGAGACTGGTTGCCTGAACGGCCAGGGATCTCTGTTAGACAAGCAGGATATTTCAGCCCTTCACAGGCTTGTAAGTTTGACCAGGAGATGCTTTTGTTCCTATATTTGGGCCTTGGTGGTTCTTGCTCTTAGCTCCTACCTGATCTTACTATTTGTTCTTTTTAAACTTTAGGTTGTAGTTTTATTCATAAACTTGAGGGTTTATGTGATATTCTTCAGGATTAATTTCTGCAGCAGTTGAAGGAAGTGATAGAAGGAGTGATAGTCCCTGAGGATAACCTTAGTGGGAGAAATGCCAGAAGTGGAGAGACATAGGGTGCCCAAGGATGTGAATCGCAGCAGGCGGCTGAAACTCCTGTCCTGAGTCAGCCTCTGAAAGTTGTCTTTTCCCACTGACGTGAAGGATGAGGTGATCAAGTATGCCAAGATTTACGTTAGTCTTTCTACATACCCCCCTTCAGTAGTCTCATGGAGAACTGGCCCTTTGGGTTGTGGCATCCTAGCAAATCCTTGGTAAGAGTGCTGTGTTCTTGGAGTCTGACTGTCTTAAATCCTGAAACATTTGGTTATTTCATTTCCTCCCAGAAACAAACAAACAAACAACATTTACTTCTTTCCTAGACCATCATTGCTGATTCTCCTTAGCTCCTTCACAATTACTTGCAGCTGGAACCATTCAAAAAAAAAAAACACACCACCCTCTGCCTTAGATCATACACAAGATGAGGGCAGACAAATTACTCTGACTACAGTGGGCTGCAGCTACATTAATTTCATCCAGTGCTATCTTCATTTCCTTCCTTTCCCACTTAGTTACGTAATGTGAAAATTGCCCTATTTTCATATTATTATGATGATTTTGAGCTTTTCATTCTTCTTTCACATAGTGTTGGCTGCCTAAGATGACCTCAGAAACAATCTGGTTAAAAAAAAAAAAAAACAACAAAACAAAACACCAAAAAAAAAAAAAGAAATGAGTTAGCAGAAGGAAATGTTCCCTTGCAGTGGCAACCTTTCGGGAAAGAGTACCAGTGTGTCTCCTGCTTACTGAATGCTTCCTGGGCTATTCTGGGAATGTGGGACACTCCCACTTATTCAGATTAATGTAAAGAATGAAAGTACCTAAAAACAACGAGCCGTATTCCCAGTGAATGGCTTTCTGTATGAAAAGTCAGCATATGGTACAAACAGGGACAGAAAAAAAATTTCTCTTTGATATTTATTTCTAAAAAAAGAATAAACAAGGCAAATAATTGCTATTGAGGCTGTAGCCTGGATTGTATGCCCATTTATTCATAATGGTTTTGAAGTGGTAAGAGCTAAGCTGGTGGCAAAGCCAGCTCACAGCTTCTCAGTAGAGTAGGCAGAAAATTAGTTTTATTGATCCAGAAGTGAGGGGTAGGAACAATCACTGTGTCTGTAAGAAAGGAAAACCTATGCCTGGGCGAGAGAAACAGGTGGATGGATCGTATCACAGTGTCCCTTCATAAATTCATAAAAAAACCAAACCCAACCCTACACTTACCTTCCATTCTGTGGGGCCTTTAGTCTTGATGTACATTATTCTACACCAAAGTTGTAACCTTGAATATCTTTTCTGATTCAATGAGAGTACTTTAAATTAAAAAAAAAAAATTGTGTTGTATCACAACCAAATTTCCATCAATGTGTGTGGTCACGTTAACCTAAAGGACACAAGGGGAAGGGATGTATGAGGCAGCCAGGTGGTGGAAGAGGAAATACACAGTGAAACTCCAAAACAAAACAAAACAAAAAACCAGTTATTTTTTCCAGCGTGGTCTGTGTTGAAGCTCCTATTACTATTATGAAAGATAATATATGTTTGTATTATGGCAATATGCAGGAGTCTCAGTGAAACTGGATCTTGGCACTCTGCAGAGGAGGCTTTTAATATACAAGTTCTAATCAAGTTTCCTCCAAAATCTATAAGGATACAGACAGCAGAGTCAAGACTTGCGCAAAGATTATGGGAATCTGAATCCTTGCATGAAAAAACTGAAGATAAAAGACATCTTGGACAGCTATAGTTGATGAAGAGATAATTTTATTCATATTCTTCTATTTGGAAGAGGATCCGGTCTCCCTGAACCATCCCTGACATGTTTGTATAATCTGTTTCAAAGTGATACTTCCATTTTTCTGACCTATCTGCATGATATAAGAACAGAAGTACTCGTATAAAGAAGTGAAATTAACTGATGAAAAACAAATAGTATACATATTTAATGGGCTGACATTTGTCCACAGTGTAACACATATTTACATTACTCCAAGTTTACGGTATTCCATCACTTTGGACTTCAGATACGATACTCTTTCCACTACTACTTATAAAAGACAATGGCAGACACTATCAAGAGTTTTACATGCCTTTTAATATTTTATTTTTTAAATGAACTAAATAACACTGCTACACTGTAACACGCATAGTGAGTAAGGAATTGAGAATATGAAGGATGTAAAGATTCAAGTAAGTTGTTCCCTCTTGTCAGAGTCAGTAGTCTGGACATTATATTGGCAAATAACACTTATGATGAATTGCACAGCTCAATCTGCAGCTCATACATGTATATTGGAAAACTGAAGAGAATTAATGTGAGCAATTTTTTAATATTAAATTGAAAATGAGATATCTTTTTTTGCCAACAGAATATTACGTCAAATTGTTTTCTTTATTGCATTTTTCTTCTGAATATGATTACTATTTTCCATTTTCTTTAAGAATGCACGATCCTATTGTTTCTCCATACTAACTATTTGGGCTTCCCTTTGATCTAGAGCAATTTCATTTAATTTAACAGAACAGGAGTTGAGTTCTCAAGCATTTTGTCATTTCCTTTGTGATGAAATCTGATCCAAAGTCCATGACTTCTGTAGAAAAATGCGCTGTTATTGACATGAATGTGCATTGTGTCAGGCCTTCACATTTCAGACATTTTTTATATGTCCTGACAATAGTTCTTGAACTGTGTAGACAGTACTGATGGATTATCCATTCTTCAGCATTTCCAAATGGAAACAAAAAAGTTGGTCAGAGAAAAAATCTTGGTCCCATTGTAGTCAAGGGACGTTCATTACAAATATTTCCAAATTGTTTTGTTTTGAACTATAATTCAAATATATAGACTTACTAGACTTCATTATAACATAATAATTAATTCCTTTCTGACTGCAAATAACAGTGCTTGTTTAAGGATCAGTGAACTCGATTTGATTACATTGAGTATAGTATGGGCCTCGGTCCAAAGCATAGTTATATACGATGAAATGAGATTATTAGGTAAGATCATTCCACATTATGGTACCGCAGAAAGTCAACCAGGAGGAGTGCATAAGAGTTTCTTCAGTTGTCACATACAAAAGAAAGGTTGGTGGAGGCCAAAGATAAAGAAAATGACAAACATCTGCCAAACACATACTGGTCAGACCTAGAAGGGGCACAAGAGATCAAGAGATGTGAGACTAGTGCCACCTGTATGTTTACTTAGCTGATTTTAAAGCATTTGATTAGGAGGAAAAAAAGTTTTGACTTGAAGGTGGAATGTCCACCGTGTTGACACATTACATGCTTACTTGACATGTTACTGTGAAAAAAATATTGTAGAAGTAATTTGTACTCCAGAAAGGGATAAGGTAACAGGTTTGCTCTGGCTTTATCTCTTTAGTATACTAACACAGATGACCAGGAAGAGATACTAGAAAGTGAAATCAAAATTTAAGTACTGATTGCCCCATTCACAAAGGAATTATAAGCCTGGGGCAGGGGACTGTGTCTCTGACAGAACACAACAGCACAAAGAGCTCTAGTAGGAATAAAAGCTTGAATAACTACACATTTATGTATATACTCTTAGTCAAGATAATTCACATTAATGGGATTTTCAGAAAAAATTAGACACAACAGAGATCTGGGAAATTCATTGAGTCAAGGCTCGTTATGAACTGAAGGCTCAGTTTGAAAGAGAATAAGGAAAAAAAATCACCTTTCAGAAGGAAATTGTGTGGAGAACAGCCATTGAAGAGCAGGATCTGGGTGAGAAGCCGTGAAGCTTCAAAGTTCCCTCTTCACAGCAGCAAGTATGAGCCACAGTGGTCTTCAGTTCTGTTAGTTCCTCTGTGTCCCTTGCCCAGTTCTCACACATTCACTCTTTTTCCTTTCATACATGCTCAGTGGCTCTTCTGTGGGACTGTCATTTTAACTACATGCTCCATATTTTAGAGTCTCTTGACATACCAATTTTTCCAATATTCATTCATCAGGTAACGATTAGTAAGAGCCAACCGGAAGAGATTTGGTTTATCATGCCACTAACTCTCACATTGACAATGATTGATGATAATGATGTATATATGCACACAAATACATCGTGATTTAAAGGAGAAAAAAGCTGGTAAAGTACCAAGCAAAATCTAGAAAGAAACATATGAATGAAAATTTGGAATTCTGTGAAAAAATCCATGGCCAGAAATCATGGTTTGATACAAGAGAAAGAGGAAAAACTGTACTAATCTAAGTTTGTCATTAGAAATAAGGCAAACGTATGTTGGAATAAAGGACAAGTAGATACTGGATAATCTAAAATAGAAGTCACAATAATAGAAGCTTGATGGATGAAAACATCAGAAAGAACAGAAAGTGTTGTGATATTGAGAAGGTTGGCCCCATCAAGCTGGCAAAGCACAGTAAGTGGGAAGTGGCAGTATTATTCAGGATGTAAAAAGGAAATTTTTGAATGTCCTTTTTGCAAATAAGGGAATGGTATTCTGTTTGTTGAAGATGGTGAGGTATATTACCAGCCTTCTGCACTGCTAACGGAATAGCAACAACAGCTCCTAGAAAATAAGCATCTTTTAAATTTAGGGGACAAAGAATTATTTCAGTGCTCAGTTTTGAATTTTGATTGACGGGATGTTCTGTAAATGTAATGGACTTTTGCAAGACCTTTGAATCAGCGGCACATAATATTCTGATTACAGAGTCAATGCTATGCAACATCAATAAAGAATATGTTAAATGGATTAAAAATTGGACAAACGACAGCTCTTAAAATTGTAGTTGTCAGTGGTCAATGCTGAGTGTCCTAGCGGTGGGAGGTCACCATAAGGATCAGTGCCAGGACAGTATTGTTCAGTATTTCCAGTGCTGGGAATCAGTGATTGGGAAATAATGAATTGCAGCTGTGGAAGGTTCTAGGTGACTGTGGAGGCAGGCACACAAAGTGATCTGGATCAGTTGTAGCTAAGCTTATTCAAATGAACTGTTTTGAATACAGCTAATTAGTCTTATCTAAGAAGAAAAATAGAGCTCATGACAAGACAAGGGTGAGAGTAGGGGAAGCCCATAGCCTGGAAACAATGCAACTGAAATAGAGCACATGAGACAAACAGCCCTCAAAAAATTTCCAGAATAACTGAAATGCTAAAGGAACCCCTGCCATCCATGTGTAAGTGAAGGGAACAATGAAAATGAATGGAAAAGTGATCTCATACTTACATATAGCCTTGGCAAATGGCTGTAGAGACACCTACAGTTCTCACGACCTTGCTTTTTTATTAAAAAAAATACGCTGAAATATAAAAAAAAAAATATGCTGAAATATTGAGAAAAGAAAGAACCACAAAAATTATCCAAGGACAAATGTGAGGGATTTAGTGAGAACAATCTCTTTAGCTGATCAGAACGATGGGATGTGATTTGATCACAGGTAGTGGAGAAATGTTTGGTACTAAAGTACTACTTAATTCAGAGGGATAAAAAGCATAACCATGGCCAAAGGCTGAAACTAGAACCACTGAGATAGAAAATAAGGTGCACATCTTTAACAGTAGTGGTGGGGAGGGATAAATTACCACAATAAACCGCCGTTTTCAGGGATCTTCCGATGAAGACTTTACATCTTTTTTGAAGGTGTACTCAAATATAAAAAATTGGTCTTGATACAGGGTAATTAATGTGTGTGATTTGCAAGGGCCTAGGATGTGTGGGATGTGAGGCTCAGATTTCTAGTGGCCTACCTGACTTTGCACTCAATAAATATATAACTTAAAGCCTCCAAAATTTCACCTCTTGTGAACTTCCTATGAATTTGTGTTCTGATTTGGTTCTGTTCTTATCTTATGCAAAGCAGTTAGCTCACACCTTTAGAAAAATTATCCACGATTGGCAAGAGCCTCTAGAAACATGAGCTGGGAAGGGAAATGATTGCATCATTAGCCTGGGTTACGCCTTACTTTTAAAGACACTCAACCTCTCGGCATCCTATGTGCCACATAAATGCTGAGATGACCATCTTGAAACTTAAGTCAGGGAAGTTTCTGGCAGAAATCCTGGACTTTCCAAAGTCAGGGCTTGGTGAAATCCCACCTTCTAAAGCGATCAGCAGTATGACTATATACTTGATTCTCTTTTTTTGGGGAGCCTAATTTAATGTTGCCATTTATATCTTCTCCTCCCACTTTTTTAATCCCTCCTGGTCCCTATTTTTATATTCAATGTGTTAAGTTCTCCATGCAAAGCATTTTTTCTTGTCTTAACTAGATCCCATTGTAACAAGAAAGAGTTTTCTAATACTCATAATATTACCTAGCCTCCTAATGGTACTGTAGCATGGAAAATTTCAGATGTGTTTGTGGCATGTAGCTGATTTGGAGATATTATCTAGTGTGATATTATTACTGTAGCCTACAGACTAGGATTGCCTGTCTCTACATGCAGATAGTGATGAAGCAGCGAACAAAAGCTTTCTAAATGAGGGAGGAGACATGGTACTATCTGAAATTGTTCACCACGCAATGTAACAAAGAGCAAGAGTTCCAAGTTTGGAAACAGAATATAAGGTTACAGTTTGAAAGGGAGATAACGAAGTGTGGAATTGTCTACAAAAGAATTAGTATTTTTTAAGAGCTTGCCTTATTTAACCCCAGAATCCCCTATGTGAACATATCATTGCACAGGATCCTTGCTAAAAAAAAAAAAAAAAAAAAACCAAAAAAACCCAGTTAAAGCTGAAGACAGATAAACTGTGAAGCAGTTGACATGAAGAAAGCCTCTCCTTATTCACATGTAAAAGTGGGTCAGATTTAGGGATGAAATTACGTCTGTCAGAAAGTGGAGTGTTGGCAGCACTGTCACTGTTGGCTGTATTACTGGATACAGGTCAAATTTAGGGAAGGGATTTTTCTGAAAAAATATTTACCTCAGTTCTAATTAGATGACCTTGCGTTTTTTTTAAACTGTAGCCCCAGCATTACTCTCTCATAGTGGTGAAAGGAAAAGCCCTTATTCCTAGAGATTAGCTCTCTTGATTATGGAATCACCTACTGGTACTGTCTTCCTGTATGCCTTGGCCTGATGGTAAAATGCCACTAAGCAAAGGATTTCCGTATGTGGCTCCTCGATATTCCAGTTAACAGAATAACCCAGGCTTGGTCTTCCTTTTGTGTAAATAGTCGTTTGATGTGTACAACTCTTAACAGAAGGTGAAACAGTCCAATGGTTCAGCAGGGTACATTTCGTGTGTGCAGGAAGAGATCACAGCTGAGATGAATTGCTGTATCCTTATTTATATGGTTTCCCTTGTTACTGCCTCCTTTAGGGCTATTTTAGTCACATTTTGAGCCAAGAGTAGGTGGAGAGGCGTGTGCTGCAGGAACCACAGTGCTGATAGACCTCAAGCTGCTCCAGGGAGTCACCATCAGGACCTGGGGGAACCAGTGATGGATCTAATTCTCCCTGTTCCACACTTCCTCTTGTTTCCTTAGATTATGCTTTGATGCCATTAAGGTGTGCCTATGGATATATAATATGCTTTGCATAGGCAGGTGTGGTGTTACTTCATCTGCCCAGCTTTGCTAATGCTAATTGATGATGCAGAAAATCCTTATTCCAGTCCTCTAAGAACCTTATTAGAAAAGAAACTGGAAACATATCTCCTTTAACAGAGGGCTTACAAGGCAGATGCGAGCACAGAAATGGAGATACCACGGTAGCATTTTTTAAGTTTCCAGAAATGACCATTCACCTGAGTAGTGCAGTCATAGGTAAAGACAGAAACAGCTGAATTAAATTCCCTAAGACAGGTAGAAGAGTGACTAGTCCCACGTTGCCCACTTTCGAAGAACAAATGGCTGAGGTTTTCTGTTTCCTTGTTTACCACTCTACCACTGAGTAGCACAGTGTCCAGCTGTGGCCAACTAGAAATGTTATTCTAATCCAACATACTTTGGAGGCACAAAAGGCCCAGTATAAAATACCAAAGCAGTATAGATTATTTACTTGGGAAAATTAGTGTGCTCAGACCTTAAAGATAAATTTAATATAGATACCTAACTTTTTTAGAAGTTTTAACTTAAAGGCAGTTATTCGGTATGATTAGGATATGAGAAAGGGTAGTCCAGAAGATGAAGGTGAGAAGAGTTACGAAAGCCTTTCCCTTTAGGAGAGCTCTAGGAAAGTGCTTATATTCAACAAGAAGCTGCCAACAATGTTAGTACTCAGCAACTTTACCTCTTCTGAGAATTGCAGTAGATCTACTGATAATAGCATTTATGCTTGAGCACGCAGCACTGACTTAAGGTTAGTGCTTATGAATATATTAACGTTCCTTTCAAATTGTAAAGAACAAGAAAACTTTAAAAATAATTAAGTGCATTTAAAAATCTGCTGCTCTTTTTATATGTAAGGTTATTTTGTTATTTGGGGATTTTCCTTTGATGGATTTACACCATAGCGCAGTTAATCAGCAGGCTGCACACAAAATGCCTGTTGCACATTAAAAAACGTGAGTCAGATGCCACTGAGCCCTCTTCGCAGTTGTGGTCTTCCATTGCATGCCCAAAGTTTAGAAACTAAACTGAGGACTAAACTGAGGACTGTTGAACAAAGGAAATAATGAGCTGGACTTTTCCTTTTTTTTTTTTTTTAATTTTAGAAAGATTGAAGCTTCTCTTTCTCTTTCAAAATATGTGGAAATTGAATCATAAAGGTCTGCCTTGCAGGCCATCCCAACACCAATGGTTTGAGCCTCAACATTTAGCTCTAAACCTGACGCTATCGTTGAGGTGGAATCATAATACTAGTACCTCTCATCTTCCCAGGGTAACAGGTTTATTTTCTTCATCAAGAAACAAACGCTCTTTTTCAGGTGGGTAATTTCATGATATTATCAAACTGTAAACAAATGAAATAAATCTTGGGGCGACTTTGGAAACCCATAGTGTATATTTGATTGCTTACAAGTGCACTTTTAAGGCTTATTAGTCTTCTTCCAGTGGATAGAAATGATTTTGGGGTAGGGAGACTAAGCATTTTTCTGTGCATGTCTCACCAGGACAGGAAGACTGAACATAGTTTGTTCACCTACACACTCCTGTGATGTACAAAGAATTGACAACACTGTGATTATGGTGTTAAATGAAGTTGGGAGGCTAAAGCACAAAATTCTGCGCCTTACAGAATTATACTGGTTTTATTGTGCTTTGTTTTGCCTCTTTACATTACAAGGTCTCTGAGGTATGGGCTGACACTTATTATGGACTTACACATCACAGTGCGCGCTGGAGCCCAGTCAAAAGCAGCACTTCTAAGAGTTATTACATAACAAATAATAAACAGTATTGATGAAGAAATATGGACTGCTAAGAAATGAAGGAAAATACTACCTCTTCTGCCATGAAGTCCAAATTAAAAGAGCTTATGTGCTCTTTGCTTTTCTCCCTATGGGTGTTGCATATTCTCACAGCCTTCACTAACCATTTCAGAGCAGGACAGCTGACCTTCAAAAGTAAATATGATTAAAGCTGAACAAATCAGGTAATTACAATAAAAACATGACTTGACAAGCAGCCTCTGGACAAAATTACAGTTCTATACACAGCCTTCACTTTCAATTAGGATGATTGGAAACGGTAAAAATATTTATTTTACTTTTGCTTGATATTTGTGGGACACTGTTTCTAAGCTATCTTAGGGCTCTTTAGAAAATAAAACATAGTTCAGTTTAGATACTGAGTTCTTGCATCTGTCACCGGAAAGTATGTTAGCAAGGTGCTACCAGAGGTACTTGGACCCACTTCTCTACCCGGGTCCCTTGTGACACAGGCCTTCCCTCCCTAACATGGCCCTCTTCTTTCCTGCTCTCTTTCTGCAACCTGTTGGCAGCTCATGATTGGCACAGCTGCAGAGAGAAGGGGCATGTGCCTGCCTCCAGCCTTCTCCTTTCTCCTTTTCTCACTGGGGAGAAGAGCAGGTAACAGTCTCCCAGCACTAAGGGAACACACACGTTGAAAGATAATGTGAACGATGAGAACCAGAAATGGCAAAACATTAAGTCCAGAAAAAGAGTAGGACACAAGGCATGTTGTGAGTGGTATTATTAGCACATAGCAATATCGGCATCTGCACTTAGAATCAAGAAAGATACTTCACTGTCACCTATTATTACTGCATTGCCCAAGCTGCCAGATGTTCCCATACCAAGGACAAGTTGCAAAGTACAGGCAAAAACACTGAGCCAAAAACCAGGTGACCCATGATGACTTATTACAGCTCTAT